AGTGGATTAAATATAATAACACACATCCTTAAAAAGTATATACTGTGCTCACTGTCTCTAATCTAAGCTGCCAATCACCATTAGTTCATAATTTGATGTATTGATGTTGACCTGCCTCATTAGTTACCAGCAGTCGATATTGGGCTACCATTTGACTCATCCTGTGTTTAACTGCATACTGATGGATGAGTGGACTGTTTGAGATATAATAAGAAACTGCTTACAGATGTTGTTGTGTTGAACTAGGCCCTTTCACTTTGTGAACAAGCCTTGCTGACAAGTGTGATGCTGCACGGTCTAGGTGAAAGCACAGCTCTTTCCCAATGCATTACCAGAAGGCCTGTGCCCTTGTGAGTTGGCTAATCTCAAAGCCACACCAAAACAACTTGGTGCACATGAGACAAACACCAAGGGTAGCACTAACTATCTCTGGTCATGCAGTCGTTAACAGGGACAAGCTAGTGAGCCAATTTTAAGAAACTGTTATGTTTCATAGTCTTAAATCTTTTAGAAATGATGATTCACAACCTTTATTCATTAATGGGCATCTGATTCATAGCTGGTTACAGTGGAAATAGATTGTTATACTGTGGGATAATTGTTCATACTCCTTTGTAGAGACTGCAATTATTTCTATTATTGATGTCTACTTGGAGAATTTATAGCTTGTCTGTAAAAACCTATAACCTGTTAAGCTACAGCATTAGAGCACTCTCTAGATGAAGTGATTTAAAGTGGTCATTTTTAATTTATGAAAAGGTTTTCCTTAAAGATAAAGAAAAGGTTTCAAAGCATTCACAGCCTTTTCAGTAGCATATAGAACTATAGCTTTTATTTAAAAATAAAAAATTCAATAATTTTGTGTTCATTTAGATAAATGGAAAGGTTTTGTAGTCCCACATTTCAGCTTCACACACTAATTTTCACTCTATAAAAATCAGAATATTTGGAGGTAATCAACAAATTTTACAGGAAAATAAACCCTGTAATTATTTTTATTTTCCTCAGGGAAGGGATGAAAACTCTCAATTTCTATGAAAAAGCAATTCAGAACTTCCCTCAGCACTTTTTAAAGTTAGATGACTTATTCAGGGCCAGCTTAGATGAAATGAAGTATTAATTTATGAAGTTTCACAGTCTATAACTTAAGACCAGATTGAATCATGACAACACAATGCCATTAGTCTTTAAGGCCACGTTTGTTCCTTCTTACTTTGTGAAGAGCCTTGCTGCTTGTGCCCTAATTGGGTATGAAATGTGCTGCTTCCTTCCTGCACAGGAGAAGTTTGGTTCATTCCATATGGAAAGGTTGCTCACTTCAAATCCCTTTACGAATGGTCCCTAGTAGGTAATAGTGAGGGGGTTTGTGGGGAGACTGTTGTGGGGTTTTATGTGTTAGTGCCCATTTTACTGAATTGCCTGAGAATTCCAGGGGTCCGGCATAATGCTGAGAGAGCTGAGCTGATGAGTGGTGTCAGATTGTGAATGTTCTTCATCATCTCAAGCTTAGAGAAGCTGACTCAATTTGGGAAATTTTTATTCATAATAAGAAAACTGATAGTAAAAGCAAATCTGACATTTAGCACTTGTTATTCCCATAATTTGGTCCAAAATGCATTGTTAACTTTCAGGTAGTCTTTGGCAAGCAGGAACTATCAGTTCTCCTTTACTGAACAAACCTCTTTTGGAGACTGTGACTGCTGAGACAGATCTTAGCAATTTTGCAGAAGTCACTCTGTTCTTAGCTGATGGAATTTATACCAATGATACTGTGAAGTATTTATCTAAGAACAGATTTGTCCTGGTCACTAGGGCAGAAAGCTTTCCCTGTTGATATGAAATGATTGTTAGAAATTACTGTTTCTTCTTAGTTGCAATGTGTCGGAAGTGGGTGAAAAAACAATGTTAAAACATGGAATTTTTGTGGGTAAAAGTAAATCCATTATAAGCTTTCAGATACCGTGTCTTCAGGATGCACTTCTGTCCAAAGGCCATACAGTCAAGCTTAAAAAGTAGGTTATTCCCATCCTATTGTTGTAACCCTTAATACATAGTTACTTTAGCAGTAACTATGCCAGTAACTATGCAGTTACATCTTTCTAACTTTTTTCTCACAATCTTTTCTGCATTTCTTTTTATTTTATGTAAATACAGCTAATTGATATGAGATATTTCACCTTTCATTATTGTCTTCTGAAACAGTAATTGCTGTCAAGATGAAAGTGTTAGGAGGGTAGGAAAGAAAACAGGCTCATCTCTATTTATAAATATATATATATGTATTTTAAGCTATCTTTTATTGTTTGTCTTTGAATTGAGGCATTGTTTTCTCTGAGGACTCTGAAATGTTTACCGAAAAAGTTAGAGGGTAACGGGAGCAGTGAGTAGAACAAGACTGTTTTCTACCACACTTTAGACTGACCAAAAAGAACTGTTCTTATGTTTGTGTCCAGCTGGAACACACAGAATGTGAAGATCCCTGGTTTTAATTTGTACTTTACAGATGCTTTGGCAGTAAGCACAGCTTTGCTCCAATACTCTTAATATCAGACACCATTTACCAGCTGCTTTATTTCTGTGTTCTTTTATGGAGTGTTTCAGCTTCTTAGAGGGAGCACAACAGGATTAATGAGATAATCTTATCTTTTACAAGGTATTGGCAATGGCAAAGTAATAAGATGTACTAATAGTGCCTGTAACCTAATGTACAAATGATTTTAAACCTTAATTCTATAATAGGTTTTGGGTTGTTCTCATTATATTTAACTCAAAACTCAGTTTCAAATCAACAGGTGTCCAGAAAAAGTCAGGGAAAGGGAACAAACAGAAGATAATTTGTTTACAGTTCAGAAGGTATGTTTCAGTTAAAACCACAACTGGATGCATACAAACTTGTACTGATACAAAAAGGAACCATGTAAGTTATGGGTAGAGTCTCTAGGCTCTATGTGCTAATCAAAGGAAGAAAGCTGCACTGTCTGGGAACAAATGCATCTTTCCAGGTTTTAGCTTCAGGAAACAAGCAGGTTGCTTTGCCTCACAGCTCAGAGCATTTGGGCAAGAGAACTTGTTTGAAATGTGATGCTGAGCATTGTTTGCTTTACAGTAAAAATATCACAGCTCTTCCAGAAAAGAAGCGGTAAATCTACTACTACTGTTGAAATCTGGATGTAAGAGGAGCAGAGTTACTGTATTCAGAGATGTTTGTTACCAAGAAAAGCTAAAAATATTCTGGGTTTGCACCCTTTGCTGACAGTGTATAGGGCTTTATCTGCAGGACTTCTCTTGGCTGTTAGCAAGGGAAAACAAGGAAGGAGCCTTAATGAGAACTTTAACCAAAAATGTGTTTCTAGTGCATCTAATTTTTTTAGTACAGATTCTTTAGACTTTTATAGTACAGATACTTTCTGACTAAGGAAATACTTTAAACTGGGGAAGTTCACTGTGATTCCAGTCCTTATCTTGTGTGTTTAGAAATCTGCTAATCTCAACTGCATCCATGTCTGCTGAGAAGTCTATTTATGTCTGTTTCTGGAAAGGGAGGGTTTTTCTTCTGTGAGCTGAGAAAAGGTGAATGTCTTAAAGAGACCCCACCCACCTCTGACTGACAGCTGGTGTGCATATTACACAGATGACAAGAACTATTCAGCTCTCGGTAAACCGCCGAGCTATCTGCCTCTCACCAAATGGTAATTACACAAATGTCTGTGTCCGTCAAGTGTTCATGTTGGGATTGTAGAGCATTTGACTCAATGCTAGATGTGTACTTTATCTGGCCTGCTGTCAGCAGAGTCCTCATTTCCACCTAGCACATCAAACTGGGGATGAGAAAAGCCTCCCTAAGGATTATGTGCTTGACAATTTGCATGGGACAGTGGTGCTCGCATTTGACATCAAGGGTTTTAAAAAAATCTTAGAAGTAAACCAACAACATTTCTGGATAAAAACAGTCTAATATTGTCCTATGGTCTTTATAATTGATAGTTGTTTTGATTCTTCACCTTTAAAGACTAAATTACAAGGAGATTTCAGACATTAATTATGAGTTGCCTGTAGTTTGCATAATGGCATTCCCCCTTTTTGGCATTATTTCAGGCTTGAAATGAATTCAGAACAATTCCCCTCTACCTGGTAACATGCTGTCAACTGCAAGCTGTGTGCGTTGTTCTAATATTCTTACTGCTTATCTAACTCAGGCTGAGTAATGTAATCATAAACCTTATGTGTTTAAGATACGCAAATAGTGTTTCTAGTTAAAAACAGACAACCAAGCCAGTAGAAAAAGAAAAGAATTAAGGCTTTGACCTGTTGTTTGGGGATCAGTCTGGAAAATCCTTGGTATCACTGATCCACACAAGTGTAATGTGCAGCAGGTTATAACATCCTTTAAAGTGAGCATGTAGGCAGGTAAGCCAATAGTAAGATGAGTAGTTGTCTGAACTGAGTTTGTTTACAAAGTATATTACTGCACATCAACGGTAGGCATTGCCTGCTGGCTATTTTGCTATGGACAGTTCTACAATTAAAGGTGTTGTGCAGTGGAATACAACACCATTCACTGAATAATATATATACTAAACAAGTGACCAGCTCTGACTCCAAAGACAGCAAACAGTTACTGGAGTGCAATGCTGCTGCTTAGTTAAAAAAACTGTTGTTGGGACCTTTGTATAGTGCTGTGTTGGTATGACTGCTTGACTTTGTTTCTGGACAGAGCTTGCTGAAGGAGGTCTGCACCACCTTTCATTTTAAGGGGAAGGCAAAAAACTGTTTCTAATGCATCTGTTTCTTAGTACAGATTCTTTAGGGGAAGGCATCTTTTCAGCTGAGAGCGTCCTTGTCCATATGTATTGATTTTTCTTTTGGAAGTGTTTGCACACAGGAGGTAGTGAAAAATGGTAAGAAGTAATATTTCCTTACCCTGGCTTAGTGGTCATACTGTAGACAAGCCTCTTAGTCACTCCTCAGTCTGTCCTAGAAGAGCTCAACAAGACAGTTTTATCATACTTAAATTTTATAACTTTCAGATTTTATAAAAATGAGAGAGATCTGGTGTATGATAATGCAGCTCCTTTCTGATAATGACTGCATCTCTCAAGCTGTAATACTTAGTAGTATTTTAGCTTTTTTCTAATAGGTGTCAGAATTAAAAATCACTGTTACATTTCTAAGGTAAAGGAAGGGAACATTTTCCTACATAAAAGCAGCTAATTATTTTACTATATATTTTTCTGATGTCAGTATTCTGGTGGACAAGGTAAGTTATGACTCTTTATTAATTTTATTTGAGCCTGTTTTGTGTTGTTTTCTCAAATAAAGCAGTCTGGCAGATAAGGTATGAGAAAATGCATGTTCTTCCATGGGCTGTTTCCTGTAGTCAGACCTGGCTGTGGATACCTGAAAAAGGCCAAGAAGATATTGCTAAAGCATAGGTATATAGACATAAGCATTGTATGACAGCTTTTAGAAATAAACCTCACTTTTTTCACTTGCATCATCTAAAAGCATAGTAACTTGTCAATCCTTTTGTTTTCTTTTGTTCTTTTCATTTTAGTGTTTATAAGGAAAGCTTTCCATGGGAGCTTGTAGTCTCTCTTGCAGCATCTGAAATGGTCAAATGCTAAAGGAGAGGGATATTATGTACAGGGGGAGAAGAACAATTTACTAGTTGGATAAACATTAATGAATAAATTCATTAGCATGCCTTAGAGAGGAAAGTCTAAGGGACTGAATTTTTACTTAATGACTAGTGGATATCAACATCAGTGAGCAACTAAGCTAGATAGGTCTGTATTCAGCTGTAGCAATTGCTGCCCCGGCTTTGAATCTAATCTGGTCAGCTTTCAATCCTTTCAAAGTAATTGTGAAATGAATTGCCTTCAGTAGTCTTAAAAAGTGTACCTTGAGTATGCCATGCTAAAATAGGACAAGTTGGAATCATCCTACTTGCAGGCTTAAGCAGCCTTAATGCACTGGTATTTAGGACCATATTTATTTGCAGAAGAAATAAGTCTCTATTCACAGATTTCTTGTGAAATTATCTTTTAAAATTATTTCAAATATTGATAAAGTGCCCATGCACTGATTCCCCCTCCCCTCCCCTCCCCCCCCCCCATACTTTTATTACATAGATTTGCTGTTAAGTCACATTGACGAAAAAGGGAGCAGGAGCAAGAAACTTCAATGGAAATAAAGCATTAAAAGGAGATCTGGGGATCTGTTCCATTTTTTTTTTTTTGGATGATGGGCCATGGATTTGTTTTTATCTTCCCACTATTTATCTGGCCTGAATGATGCATAGGGACTTCTCTCTTCTAGTACAAGGGCTAGAGGCTGAACTGCAGGCATGAAAGAGTAGCAAACCATACCAGTAACTTGCACTACAGCTGAGTCTGAAGGCAAGATGAAAGCAAATCTTCAGTCCCATAGAACTGAAGCAGTGCTGAAATGGGACCTCATAAAACTTGGAATTTCTGACACAATTTAAAAAAGTGTTTGTTGGAAATCACCAGGTTTGGCAACCAACAGGTTTTAACAACAAAGGAACTACCGTAAGGCTGATGAGGGTCTTTGCCAGCTGAATTCATGGCCTTGGAGATTTTCAATCCTCTCTGGGTAATCTCTTACTTTTGTTAACCACCCTTGCTGTAAAGAATATTTGTCTTATGCCTTTCCCTTGTTGCAACCTGTGACTGCTGCTTTTTATGCTTTTGTGGCATTCCTTTGGATATAGTCTGTCACCATCTTCTGTATAAGCCCCACCTTTAGACAGCAGAAGACAACTCTTAAATTCCCTTATGGCCTTCTTTTCTCCAAGCTGAACAAACTCCATTCCATCACCCTCTTCTTACACATTATGTGTTCAAGGCCCAAAACTGGACACAATATGCCAGATATGGCTCCTCACACAGCTTCTTCTCTCTCTTCAAGTTGTCCTTCCACAGTGTCTACTTGTTTCTATCTCCCTGTATTATGTTTTCCTAGGTAAAAGTTGATAGTCTGGGCCTGTATTTAGTCAGCTGCAAATGACACCATTATCATGAAAATGGTAATGATTGTTTGAAAAATCCTACCAGTGATATTAAGATTTATAAGGATGGGAAAATTAAATTACCTTCCAGATTCTGTATGTACTGTGGTAAACTAGGTCTAATTTGTGAAGCATTTTTTAAGCTACAGAACATTTAGTAGCAATACACATTTCCCTGAGATTTGGCTCTGAGTACAATAGTAAATATCAGAAACACAATTCACTATAATGTTGATAGCAATGACAAAATTGGGTGGTGCTGCCAAAATGTTACTGTTCTGTTATGTAGTTGTACTGAATGATGTGAGGTAAAATAACAGGAGCTCTGCCTACACACTAGCTTCTGGCGCTGTTTATGGCTGGTAAAGTTGTGTTAGTGGGAAATCATGACTTGAAAAAAAAATGTTTGGATAAGCACATCTTCAATCTGCACTATGAATAAATAGCGAGCTTCTATCTGCCAGAGGGTGAATTTGGCATCTGCCATTAGTACCACATTTTCTTATTAAAATAAATAAATATATAACTTTTCTCCAGGTCATTAAATGAGGAAATGTATCAGAGTCATCCTATGGTTACATTTCACTTCTAGTTAATTCAATTAAAATTATTTTCAGTATCAGACCATCAGACATCTTAGAACTTCTTGAAGTGACAAGTCCTTAATACCCCTGCAATGATTTGGAGAACCTCACAGGATAACTCAGTCTCTATTTTCTAGGTCAGCTGTTCCTTTAGTGAGTACAAGTAGCCAGTAGAATAAACATATTCCCCTATCTCTAAGAAAAAACACAAGTCCTCTGACAGCACCTGAGCTATGTGCAAAAGTAGTCATGCAGGCTAAAGATCATCAAAGTTTCTCCAAGCCTCTGTGCCAAAAATAGCAAATGTTTGGTATCTTAAATCAAAGGGTTGCTATAAAAAGATGCTTCTAAGCCTGTGGAGTATCCATGTCATTCGACAGGATGGTTTATTTTTGGCATGAGCGTTGACACAGTCACTTACAATCAAGGCAGATAGAAAGTCACTGAACCGTGAGCTCTAGGAGCAACGTTGCACAAAGAGCACTGTGACTCTCACGTGAGGAAAGCCAGGGAACATCACTGTCTGTGAGCTGTGTATCTTAGAGGAGAAATTACAATTATATAACACAGAACTGTATCGTTGTTGCTGTAGTCTTCTAAGATCTGTGCTTCCCAAAACAGCTCAAAGGCCCTGCATGTGGTGACCCTTTCTGTAGGCTAAAAGGGAAAGATGCTGCATTGTTTATCAGTCAGCAGCGGCTGTTTAAGTGTCAGAAGACATGTTCATTACCCAAGAGGAGAGCTGGAAGGCTCTCTGTTATCACAGCCCTTTTTGACCCCCATACTTGAACTCTGGGACAGTTGTTTTTTTTTGATAGTTGAAGTAGAAAGCTCTGTTTCCAAAAAAAGTTGCCCACTTTTCTGCTCCTCAGTACTATTGTATTTGAGGGCTTTGCAATCTTACCCTCAAGAACCCCTGCAAATATTTTTCAGGCACATACAAGCCAATAACTTGTTCAAGGTCGCAGAAGAAATCCCTCATGGTGCAGGATGTGAAAGCAGATTTCCTAAGCGTGTCTGTCTCCTGCAGGACTGTCAGCGTCTGACAAAGGGTATCCTTTGGTAGAAGATTTTCTTCTGGCAGACAGGCCGAGTCAATTTATTTTACTGGACTTCTGTAGTGCAGTTGTACCCAAATGCCACCTTTTGGCCAGCACATGCTGCAAATGGCAAGATGCCATACCAGTGTGCTGGGGAAAAAGACCAAATGCTGCAAGAGAGCAGATTGCAGGCTGGCAGCTCAGACAGCAGTTCTTCCTGAGCACTGCTGCTTGCTGTGCTGCCTGGCAGAGTGTGCCTTGTAGGAAAGGACTTGTGGTGATCCCCAGTCCCTAATTTGCACAGGTGTAGTATGAGTTAGGATCTACACCTTAGTCCTTTTCTTCTTAATTGAAATTAATGAATTATCCAGCTTCAAATTCCAATTTCTTGCTGAGGCTAAGAAATGGCAAAACCCAGCTGATGTTGTTACAACAAATTCTTGGTCTTGCATATTAGCTGTATATATTCTGCTTTCAGGATACATAGTTGAATATAGTATTTGCGAAGTTTCATGACTTAATTTTATACACATTCTTGGGATCTCAGAGAGATTTGAGTCTTCTCATTAATTTACTGAGGCTATTTTCAGCTTCTGCAGGTAGTAATAAGTAACTCTGCTCCTGCTCTTTTTTTAATCTTCATAAGTTTTTTAAAAAGACTCTTTCCTAAAATAAGGCTTTCCCTGCTCCCATGTTTTTCCACTGGATACAGCATTCTGTGTCATTCAATGCATCTTTTCCGGACGCATGGTTTGATCTGGCAGCAGAAGTTGAAGAGCCTCCTGTTGATTACACAGACTGCCTGGGGGTCCTGCAAAGATCTTCAGTGGTTGGTCATGTTCAAGTTTCACCTCACTGTTTCTGGCAACAAGCCCATCATGCACAGACATTGTTGACAGGATGGAGGCTAAGGAAAACGTCAGAAAAATGTCAAGAAATGAAGCATGTGTATGACTTCCCTCTTTCCCGCAGATTATTAGAAGTAGAGGCATAGCTCTATGATCGAGTCCTGTCTTTCTGTAGGGTTCTGTTTCCATTTACAGCCACAATTCTATTGCTTCTGTTCCTCCAGGTTACATAAAATCCTTTTTAAACACTGGAAACATTTGCATCTGGTCCTTGCGTATATTACTCTGTGCTTGCCTCCAGTCTTGATGTTATCATCTTCAAAATTACATTAAAAGCTCAGTTTTTTTCCTTACAAAATGATTAAACAGACTAAAATGTATCTTAGTAGTGTGAATACAGCCTAATTCTAGTGCAAATGTGAAGTACCTGTACCGAAGTTAGTGACTTAAATGAATTAAAAATCAATTTACTCAAAGCAAAATTAGACAAATTTTCTGTTACAGGTTGGTAACAAATCTCCTTCTGCAGAAACACTGAAAAAAAATAAGCTTAAACCCAATACCATTAATTTGCCCCTGAATTCTTGTAAAATGAAAGCCCTGCCAAGTTTCCAGGGAATGTGTTTGATAAGGACTGGGCATTGCTGTGACCTTACTAAATGCTCTCCTAGTGTGGGAATATATCTTACACACTGTGCCCAGTAAGAATAGTAACATTGCTAACTTTGCAACAGATAGCTAAAACCAGACTACTTCACACTTTGTGTAAATTATTCCAGTATCTATGTGGATGATGTGCAAAAACTAACATGTGAGACCCAAGGTTTGATTTAAAACTGAAAGGGTATGAGAAGAGAGAGCTCAAATGATGACTTGGGTAATTAAAACTGTCTAATCTGGCTCCTTTCTGATTCTAGAGTTACGCATGAAGGTTTACATTGCGATTCACCCCATTAATGATGAATAATTGGATAGACAACTGTGGAGCTCACATCACCTTCTTTCCATGGTTTGTTGATGGAAAAATAGCACTTCAGTGGTTGAAATTCGAGTGACATGAGAAGTATAGGTGATATCACTAATGCTCTTCCACAGCACACTGGGGTCCAGAGATACCCCCCTCTCTTCTCTCCCTTCTTCCTATTTATTTTATGTTTTTAAGGGACTGAAACGCTGCAGAATCTGATACATAGGTAGAGGCCTGAATGCTGTGTTAACAAAGGCAACAGCATTATTACTTTGTTGACCTCCAGTTTCTAAGGGACTTTTGAAGGTAAGCTATTTAATTCTGGTTGAATAAACTCTGCTTTGTAACACATTAAACGCACTCCATAAAACTGCACAGTTAAGCCTAGGTATACTGCTCATTTAATCTATTTTTGAAGAAAACTTTGCAGACTTTCTCTATAGGTGTATTTTATTGTTATGTTCAATTTATAACAGGGCTTGGCAATTGTGTAGTAAACTAAAACATATATTGAAAGAGTACAGTGTGTTTTGGGATTGATTAGCTAGCCAGCACACCAGTTACCAGAGTTTAGAGTGAATCTGCTGTCTAAAATAGACTGGGACATCCAATCAATACATCCATTTTTCAAAACAGGGCAAGACTGTGAAGTCTGACAGAATGCACTGGCATGGAAGTGGTCCGTGCTGTTTGTATTTTTGAATAGTGTTAACACAAAGCTATGTATTTATTTGATGTTTCAATGAAAACCTGCTATGACTTGGTGATAATAAACTTTGTAATAACTTTATGAGTCTTCTTTGTTTAGCCATATTTTCAGAATGGCTATTACTGAGTCTGACTTTCAGAAATTCCTGTTCCATGCTTTAGGAGGGGTAACTCCTTTGAAAATTTAGAATAAACTTTGCCAGTTGGCCTATTTCAAAGTGTAAGACTACTTTAAGTTCACATGACGTATGAGGTGGGAGAAACTAAATAGATGCAGGTGTTTACAGTGTATTTGCACTCTATGTTCAATGATATATGTATTTTACTTCTATATCTGCGTGGCCTTCTGCTATGTTGTTTTTCTTAAATGTCTCTGAATATTTCCAGTTCCAATACTTATTTGTATTGGGAAATAATTTATTATTTGGCATTCTCAACATGAAAATTTAAGAAATTCATAATGTTTGCATCAAAAACCAAACTTTCACTGAAAGCTTCTATCCCATGTCTGAATGGATAGAAAAATACTGTATTCTGTCACAATTTTGAGAAGAAATTGACATTAAACTGTTAGAATTCAGATATTCTTGTCATACATTCCTTCATATTTTCTAAAATATATACTCTCTGAAACATCATAAAAATTTCACTTTTCAGCCAAGTGAACTATCTACCTTGGCTTTTCAGGCTTTTTCTATGCGATTACTGTTTCGTTTTTTTAAAAGATGAAGTTAATCAAAATGATTTGGCAAACAAAATCAAATGAATTGTAACTACCCTTTATTACCATGCTGTATCTTTCCAAATTTATCCCAGCTTTTCTGCAAGATGCTCATTTTGCTAACAATGAGATTTTAAAAATATTGCTTTATGCACTCTGTGCTCTGCAGATCTAATTTTCAACTAGAGTCTGCAGTGTTCTGGGAATCCTTGCATAATCTGGAATGTGCTATAAATAGAACATGCACTCAAAGGAAGGAAAGCGTGACTTATTTTGTAACTATATGCTTGCCACAGATCCAGCTTTCATCCAAAGTCAAATTGCTCTTGTCAGGGCTGCCAAGTTGTCAGTTAGGCAGAGAAATTTCCTGCAATGTGCAAGGTGACTTTTCAGACTAAAGGGAGTGGGGGAGGAAGGAGGTTTCCCTTCTGCTGAGTAACTGGTTTCAGTCCTTTTACTAGGCTGTTTATATCTTCAGTTGAAGATACTCACCCACAGTGAGATCAGACTGACTGTTCAAGAAGGTCTATGAGACACTGAGTTATGGTCTGTATTGGGTCCCTGTTGGTACCAGCAGATCTACTACTGAAAAGAGCTGAACATTTGCAACACGAAGTAATGAGGACATAAGTGAGAAATTGTACCTTCATCCCATTTCTGTTTGCCATTCACAGCTGCTGATCTGACAGAAGAGGTGGTTAGGTCTTCCACAGGAAGAAGCCATATGGAGACCACTGCAGCCCTCTTAAGACACTAGCTCTTAACAGGAGGTGCAGCTTGCAGTAAAGGGACTTCATTCCAGGAAGAGAGAGAAAACAGCAATGCAAGAATCAGTGTCTGAGTTCAGATTTCTGTCTGGTTGATTGCTTGCTTACTTGTGTGCCAATGTTTGAAGGGCACTCTGGAGGAAGAAGGTGGCTCTTACTCACTTTCTCAAATCTGTGATCTTACCATGTTTTGTGTCTTCCTTAGGTCTGTTCCTTTGAATCTTTCTGAATCCAGATGAACAACGTGATTTTGCTGTAACTATGGAAAGCTCTGAAATACATACCTATTTTGTGTCTTTCTACTCACTCTGTCTGTGAAAATCTATTCCTTCTTCTAATTGTATTCTGTGAATGCTCCTCAGTCAGGTCATCAAATAATTGCAACGACTCCATTCCCAATAAGCTGAAATGAAAAAATCAGTCTGTCTTATCCAATTTCCCCAAAACTCCAATATATCAAACTACCTAATCTTAAACACTGCAGAAATATTAATAAAATTGGAGGATGATAAAGAGATGGAAAAGCAGAAACTCATTCCTGTACCTTGGATTTCTGCGTATGTCACTGAAATGATTGAATTTTGAAATGGAGAAAAAGCAGATGGTGGTAATTTAGGGTTTCTGTCATCCTCATTGAATAAGGTAAAATGTTACTTTGTAGCTAAACCACTCCTACAAAACAGCCACTCTTGATGACTTAAGAAGTAATGGTGAGATCATCACAGCAGAGGGAATCCTCATGAGCCTGAAATTCACATTGCAGCTCCAGTGGACCCCTCTTCTTTCCTGCCAGGAAAATTTTGTGTGGCTACACCACTTGTCTTAACAATTTCTATTTATAATAACCCTCTTGGGTTTACTGACAGTTGGCATTACTGAAAGCAAACTTTACCCTACTGCACCCTGTGCTTGGGTGCACTTGGGCAATGTCCCACTCCAGAGTGAAGACCTTTTCTGTAAAGCTGCTCAGATGTGAGCCAGACTACAGTGACATTCTCGAATGATGTTACAAGATACGGGTAAACTCCGTTAAGTATGTTTGGGAACAGTTTCCAGGCACATGGTTCCGACTAGGAAGAATTTTGGTATTTTTCACAGCTTGGTGTTGTTTTGATCATGTGCACAGAGAATCAGCCACCAATTTCAAATGAAATCCCACCTCTAGAAGGAAGACCTTGTGTGTAAATCACCATTCTAAGCTACTAGGAAAGAGTCACTGTAGTGAAAGATGGAAAAGTTTGTCCCTAAATTGAGCATGATTTACAGTTTAAAATAAGAAATCAGTGAAATACTTGATGACTTTGAGGGTTTGGAAACCCCAAGAAACATTTGTTGAGCCATTATTAGGATTGTCAGCCCTGTTCTTTAAATCTAGCCTGTTCAAATCAGGAAATCCTAGTGGTCTTGCATTATCCCATTCTGTGTGGTCATAAAGTTAGCATAAAATATAACCTCAAACAAGCTATGTTATTGGAACTTCTTATTTTTCTTTTCTTACTAATTCTAGTAATTTTCTGCCACTTGCATTAAAAAAAAAATAAATTAAATCAGATGGGGACTCTGGTGTCAGAAACTTTTCTTCTTTTGCTTTTGGTAAGTGACTAGGAAGATTACTCTGTTTCTTAGTCATTGGTATTATGCTTTGAATTTGATCCAAAGTAACAAGGAGGAAAAATGTTGAGGTGTTCTAATAATGGAATTTGTGGTTCCAACTAAACTTTGAAAAGAGTATTATCTGAATTGCAGAGGAGCTCTAATGTTTTCAGTTCCCTTCACTGTTCTGAAACCTCATATATGGTAGCACTTTGCACAGCTGGACCTTTCCAGTGAATCTTCTTTGATGAGCTCATGCCCTCTCAGAAGTATCACAGCCTCTTTGGGAGGCAGGAAAACATTCCCATTGTACAAAAAGGGCAGGCTGAGGTACCGAGAAGGGAAATTCCCTGGTTGTGCACAGTAAGCCTCAGCTGCCTGGACTTCCATTCTACCTACAAAACATACCTGAAACAAAACTGGAAAGGCTTGTGAGAGCCCCTGGCATACTGTGTATTGCATTGAATCACGTAATGAAAAATGACTTCCTGTGAGGCTGAAGAGAAGGAATATGATATTAATGTGCAGCTTGGGTCATTCAGGGGATTAGAAAAAGTAAGTCATAAAACCGTTTAAGAAGAGATAAGAACAAAGTCTGTTTGAAGTTATGAAAGTAAGATACCAGGTAGGACACAAATGCTAATTGTAGGAGACATTTTTGAGGAGTCCAGTAAAAATAGCAGACAACAGGCGCTTGTTTGAGACTTGATAGTGTCAGGTACTATTCATTTTTTATATCTAACCAAACATTTTCTGGGGACTTTTAATCTGTTTTCTCACCTTTTACCAAGGAAAGGTAGAAAAGAAAAAAAGAACATGAGCTGGATCCAGAAAATCTTCACCAGGCCTTCCCACGGTACACACTGAACTTTTCCCTTCCATCTGTCTTTAGCTGGTGCCTCTGGAAAATCTACAGACAGCAGAAACATCTTACACTCAGAAGGTCACTGTCTCTGGAATCTGTTAGGCAAGGTGGTAAAAATGCTGTCTTTGAGGACAGTGACTTAAATCACTGGATATTCTCAGCCAAGGAAAGAAATGAGGCTACTGATGCTCTCCCAGATTTGCCTTCTGAGAGGAGGAATCAGATGAAGTGCTTGAACTCCACTGAGCACAGAGAAGTTCTAATCACAGCAGGTTTTGTCCATTCAGAATGTAGTTCCCATAATCAAACACCCAGTAAGTAAGTAAGTAAATAAATACATAAAATGGTGAGAACTACTCCCTTAGCCTGTTTCCTGTGCTCTCTGCCCACATCCCTGCTTTTTCCTTGTCTTCACAGACACTCTGAAGTTACTTCTGTTTTATGTTTGTTTAGAACTCCATGCTAAAGCAGATTCTTATATTCTGATGGTACAGAAGATTTATGCTTACAAGTCATTGGTATAAATATCACTAACTTCTGAAAAGCAGTGCCAGATTTATTCTGGGAAACAACTTTCTCCTAAAAGCACATTTCTTTAATGCTGACAATAATTTTCTTTATATCTTACCTTCTTATGAAAATGAGATGTACACCATCATCTTATTAGCAATTACACAGTCTTATGTCCCTGACAATGTTTTAAAACCCCTGGGATAATTTTAGCCAAATTTGACAAAACAAAACAAAACAAAACAACCAAAACCAACCAACCAAAAAAAGTCTAATTCATTATTAAGTTTCAATAAAACTGAAGTCTGTATAGAAGAGAAAATCTGCGCTAGTGCCCATCACTGAGGGAAGCAGAGGTGCACACACTCTGTGTAGCAGAGGCCAGCTAACCAATCTACAGGCAAGTGCTGTCTGAGGATGTTTCAGACATGCAGGGAGAGAAACTGTTAATACACTGATGTGTATTTGTAAGTATTTGTGGAGATGAAGAACACAAATTGATAGAAAGCAGGCCTCTCATTATTTCCAGCGCTCACACAAGAACTTGTCTTTGATCAGCAGAGTCTTATGAAGTTTGGAGACCTGGAAAGATGCTGGAATTCTTCCCTAGTGTTGTGCTTTGAGTTTTAGCAATAAATTAATATGGTCAAACAATAAAATGAAAAACTGCTTTTGAAACTTTGACCCCAAAGTTCATCCTTAGTAATTTAGGTTTTACTTCAGCAAGGCACATACATATATCCCGAAGTAAAACAAGCAGTAAACAATTGTTTAAGTACCTTGCTGAACTATATCCAAACATTATAAAAAGGCACACATAATATTCTTCACTAAAAAATAATTAACCTACTAAACGACTATAATCTTGATTCAAGTACCTTTACAGTAACAGTTTTTTAAGACCTTGGTAGAAAAACTGAAGTCCTTTTAACTCATATAAAGCTGTAGTCTTGAAAGAAGCCAATATCTTGACTTGACTTGGAATATTGGAAGTGTGATTCCCAAAATAGCATATGGCTGACAACAGGCTGTTATCTAAGTAGAACATACACTTTTCCATTTTATCCTGTGTATAATATTAAATGTGGTCAGTTGGTTGCTGTAACCACAAGAGAGATTTCCCACATGAAGCAGAAATGGACACTAAAAATTCATCAGTGCTAAAAGAGATAAGGGTTAATCAGGATTACTGAAACTAAGTCTCTCTTTTTAATGTTATTGTACCCAGCTTTGGAAGATCTCATCACATTCATTGTACACTGAGTATTTTTGTATTTTGCTGACAGTCTTTAGCAATGGTGTGCTCTTTATCAGTTCTGGCTGTACACATAGTAGTTCACTCAGGTTGTATTGGTAACAGGGCCCAAGCCGAAGTGAATTTCTTACTTTAGTCCATGAGCAATCATTGCTAGGAAGCTATTGTTTTATTTGGAATTACTGCTTGGCTAGTATAAAGAAAGAAAAGCCAGATCCTTGATTAGTAACCCAGTATTTCCTCCAGTTGTCTCTGCTTAGACCCATGAGCAGATCATAAACTACCCTTTTTTTTTTTTTATTTTTCGCAAGAATTTGGGTTTAACAGAAATCTCTAATGCACATGAGAAGTCAAAACCAAAATCCTGTGTGTTTTAACAGTCTTGATAGGACAAGAGGTAATGGGTTCAAACTTAAACAGGGGAAGTTTAGGTTAGATATAAGGAAGAAGTTCTTTACTGTGAGGGTGGTGAGGCACTGGGATGGGTTGCCCAAAGAAGTTGTGAATGCTCCATCCCTGGCAGTGTTCAAGGCCAGGTTGGACAGAGCCTTGGGTGACAATGGTTTAGTGTGAGGTGTCTCTGACCATGGCAGGGGATTGGAACTTGATGATCTTAAGGTCCTTTCCAACCCAAACCATTCTATGATTCTATGATTTGTACATTGTTTTTTCTCATCAACTCTTACTCGACTTTCATATGATATGTTCTACTCTCATAATTTGGAGGGAGTGTATGAAAAATGGCCAGGTACATTAAATTATCAGTGATATTTGTAATGTGCCTGTCTACTATCATGTAGCAGAAGGCAGCTATGAACTAGGTAAGGCAAAATGTGAGTAGTAGGGGAGCAATCACTTACTTGTGCATGCATGTGACTTTCAGACAAGGTGAAAGTCACAGAGCTGCTGAATGCACACAGAAAAAGGTTTTCAGATTGAGTGAATCAATTGCCCATAATTTACAGATTGCGTTATTACTTGGAAACATTAATATTTCAGTGTTAAACACTGTAACAAACCCCACTGAAAGCTTGGTTACTCTATTTGAGTAGCTTTAAAACAGACTTAGATGCACTTTCAGTAAATTCTCCTGAAATGAGCAACATGCATTTCAGTGAAGTGGGAGTCACTTCCTGAACTTTTCCTTATTTCTTTCAGCTTCCTGAAAAATATATCTTCTATGGGCTGATATACATTTGGAATACTTAGGGAGGGAATCCCTGGTGATATCACTGTACACACAGGTGCTGTGGCTTGAGCCAGCCGGTAACTCAGAACCATGCAGCTGCTCACTCACTTCCCTTCCCTTCTTTCCCCTTGCTCCTGGAGGGGTGGGGAGGAGAATGGGAAGAATGTAACTCGCAGGGGTTGAGATCAGAACAGTCTGGAAACTAAGGTATAACACAAACCACTGCTGCTGCCACCAATAATAATAATGAGACAGGAAATAACAAGGGAAGAAAATATAAAACTATAAGGGGAAAAGGAAATCAATAAGCAGAAGTGATGCACAATACAACTGTTCACCACCTGCCAACCAATACCCAGAGCAGTGAGCTGGGCCTGTGTGACTCCCCCCAGTTTCTGTACTGAGCATGACGTGCTGTGGCATGGAATACCCCATTGGCTACTCTGGGTCAGGTGTCCTGTCTCTGCTTTCTCCCGGCATCTTGTCCCCTCCTCCCTGGCACAGCATGAGAGACTGAAAAGTCCTTGATTGGGGTACGCATCGCTTAGCAACAACTAAAACCATCAGTGTGTTATCAGTGTTGTTCTCAGACTGAAGTTGAAAACACAGCATTGCACCAGCTACTAGGAAGGAGAAAAATAACCGTTACAGCTGAACCCAGGACAACAGACACTAAATGCAGCCTCAGACACCTCATTGCTTTCAATGTAATTGAAATTCTCCACAGAGTATTTAGTGAGAAAATCTAGATTAATAGGCAATTTATGAGGTTATCAGATATGGTCATAGAATCATAGAAAAGTTTGTGTTGGAACGGACCTTAAGATCATCTAGATCCACCCTGCCCTGGCCAGGGACTCCTCACACTAGATCATTTCACCCAAGGCTCTGTCCAACCTGCCAGGGATGGAGCATTTACCACTTCTTTGGGCAACATGTTCCAGTGCACCACCCTCACAATAAAGAACTTCTTCCTTATATCTAACCTAAACTTCCTCTGTTTAAGTCTGAACCCCTTGATGATAAACATATAGTAAGCACATAAATAGACTATTTTATAATTAACAGAGTTCTGGTTTTCTGAAAGATTGCTTTGAAAAATAAAACCAGAAAGAGTTTACTTTGTTAAATCAGTGTTTCTTGATGTATAGAACAATTTCATATTGGAAATGAAAGAATTATTAAGTTGCTATATGGTGCATTTACAGACATGTCACTGTCTTTATTGCACATTCCTGATAAGAAAGAGCAAAAGACATAATTTTAGGTTAAATTCAAGAAGGTATCTAACACAGAGAGAGCTTTTTGAGGGATATTGTACTAGCATGAACCTTTTCAACTTTTTTTTTTTTCCTGGTATTATTAAGAAGTAAAGTTTTCAAGGAATATTCTGTGCAGCTGCAACACTGCTTTTATCTGTTTTGCATAATATAAGGGGAAATTGTCAGCTTTGACTTCAGGGAAAAGCTCTGCCACTTGAGGCTTGATCCATTTATGAGATTATTAGTTCAAGGAGAGTATGTTTCAAGTAAACTCACAACATAAACAGAAATGTTGCAGTGTTTCCTTTCTCGCCTAAATAACAAGGGGTTATTGCTTTAAAACATTTATGCGACTTGTTCTTTGTGTCTGTTTAAATTCACAACATATTAACATCCAAATATCTTTACAAGCAGCTCCATTGGCTTTATGTCCACTTTGTTCCGTTATGAAGGGTAATTTATGTTTTTACAATCAATATATTGGATAATTCTTCTCCATTATCCTGAAATAAGATAAAGATTGTAATGAAAGATAACACATTTTAAATAAAGCCATTAGGAAGAGATTTTGTCTTTAACAGAACATTAAGTGTTAAGAATGGTAGATGGGTGAAACTTCGTAGTTTAAACTGCACTGAAATGAGATGCTAAAATTGTCTGGAGGGAGGTAAGAAATAGCTTTCAATGTTTCTTGTGAAAGCACAGAGAACGCACTCAGCGGCCATGGCAGATCAATGCTATTCTTTCTAGGGTGGTCCAACAACACCATCTAGACCAAACTCATTGACCATGCCAATGATCAGCCCACAAGCATGGCATGACTGTCAGGCACCCTCTGAATTACACAGGGGCATGACTTATTCAAGTATGCCCAGCAGCTTAACAAGGCTGGTAGCCTGTCTGGCATGCCTGGCCCTGCAGTAGCGTGCAGATCTACTCTTCTTGAGTTTCACTATTATCATTGGGAAGCTTTTCTAATATCTAACCTGAACTTTTTTTTGGTTCTTATCCTGTCCATCCTGGGCAGGATTTCACTGCTTTTCCAGTTTTCAATGCAAGCCCATTTTGTTCATTCTTGCATAGAAACTAAAAGAAGCCTCATGTGGCCCTCTGAATTTTCTTAATCTCAGCAACAGCATTTTTGAAGAATGGCCTCAAAACTGAGGCCCCAAATGTATTCCAGCCAAAGTTGCACCACTGCAGAATAAAAGGATGCTTTATGTATGTCTTTTAGACTACATTTTCATTTAAACCTCTCAGTGTCTTATCTTCCATTTTTTGTGACTGCATTAACAGGGTTGACTCATGTCCAACTTCTGAGTCACTTAGACTCCCAGGTTCAGCATTCATGTTTCCTTATCATTTATTCCCCATCTTTTATTTCTGCAGTTGGCTATTTCTGTTTAGAACATTATAGCACTTACCCCATCGACCTGTATGTCTTTTCAGACGGCTTTCCAAATTTGTACTACGCATTTTCAGTCTCTCCCAGCTTGCTAGCATCTGCAAATTTAATAAGCACAGTCTCTATTCTGTCTTCCAAGACACTGCTGAGAACAGTGAGCAGCACTTGCGCAGGACAGACTACTGCAGAATCTAGCAAGGCAAGTCCTTCAGTTTTCATGAGCAATCATTGATGATTGCAATCTCAATATAGTTTCCAAGGAGCCCTGCACCCTTCCTACAGCAGTTTCATCCAGAGGACACTTCCTTCTGTGTATGTTACATATGAGACAACAGCCAAGGCTTTACTGGACGTGAGATATTTGACTCCTACTGCTTCTTCAGAGGGCCAGTTACCTTCAACAGAATGGAATTTGATTGACTTGACAGAATTTGTTCTCAATAAATATGTCTGTGAATCTTTGGGGTTTCCAATGTGCTCTTACATAATGTTTTGGAAAATACTTCAGTATTTTTCCAGGAATTTTAATTAAGAGCTGTGCTTCGTAATTTCCCAGATGCTACCTGCTTCACTTTTTCTTAGAATAGGCACTACATTTCTTTTTCCTTTTTCATTTTGTACCTTTGTGTACCATTTTTTTAAAAAAGAGCTATTATGAGCTGCAGAACTGCTTCAGTTACTTTTTTCAAATATCCTAGGGTGACAAAGTTCACCCAGCCCAGTTAATATGAAAACTCCCTAATCTGTATTTTATTTCTTCTAGGTCAAGATCTTATCTATCCCTTGCTGGTACTAATTATGTTAGGCTCATGCTATTGTCACTGATCTTTTTTAAAAGGGTGATGAAAAAAAGATAATAAACACTTCAGTCTTCTCCAGAACTGCCATTTGTTGATCTCTTCCAAGAAAAGTACTTGAAAAGTACTAAGCCTTCCCTTAGATTTTTATTTTTCTTTTAAAAACAGCGTGTGGTTATACTGCCAAACACTGATACAAAAACCATCTCCTATTCCGGAAGATTCTGTTCTGGAAAATGTTTCTATTGCTGTCGTCCAGATTTCTTACAATGCAGATATAAGAAGCATTTCCTTTTGTCCTACAGAGCTGAAGCAATAATGTTTTGAAAATCTCTTTGGCCCATCCTAACAAAGCTCATTCAAGATGAAAAATTAATATAATTTTGAAAAAGCGGCTGTATATTAAGCTACAGATACTTAATTGTGTAGACCTCAGGTTACAGACAAACAATTTTTCAGAGAAAATAAGCAATCAGAAATTAGGACATTATCTTTACAGAGATCATGAATTTAATCACAGGATTGCTCACAAGAACACAGATGCTCAAGTAGGAGTCACGTGGAGGATGGAAACATACCCATCACTAGGCGAATAGCATCTTTAATTGCTGTCCTCACTTAGAGACAAAATTGAACCAGTGGAGAGAATTACAATTTACTTCTGTTTATAGTGTGAGCAAATCTGGATAATTTTTTAGCTATTTTAAAAAAGATAAGCTCCTACGAGAATATATCCTAGGAGATTTATACTATATTCTCCTATATATTGCAGAATAGAAACTGCAATTATATTCTATCTGGGGCAGGGAATGACTCATTTAGATCTATGTCCCTTGATTTTTACATGTATGTAGCATTATGGAATTAGTACATGAGTGATCAAAAAAGCTCTAGCTTTGCTTAGACAACCCCCCTTATAACTGCAAACCAGTACAACAGAAATGGTGCATTATAACACAGCCTGAGACACTGCTTATTTCTATTGAGTCTTACCCAGCTCATTATGAAGTCTTATGGGAATAGATGACCAAGTTATCAAATGATAGCCCTTTATCAGATATCCCATGAGAGCTTCAACCTGTGTGGAATTGTGACTGGCCTTGAAGGATTTGTGTAACAAATCTATTCCTGAAGTTTAAGTGGTTGTTTTCAGGAGTTGACTTCAAAATCCAGTGCTATAGGAGAATTTGGAAGAGCAAGCAGAAGAGATCTGAAGACCTGCATGCTGACAGAAAGCTGTGTGCTGATTTCTAGGGAAGTAGTGGATACAAGCTGCATCTTACACTCTGAGTTGCAAGAAATTTTATTCTCTATACTCAGGAGGCTCTCTGTCCATTCAGATTCTACGGCTTTGATTTCTCTTCCAAATGATGCCACTTTTGCCCATTCACTCACAGAGCAGAGTAGGCCTTCCTTTTTTATCTTGAGAGGTTCCTTCAGAGGAAATGTATTGGTGGTATCTCCTTTTCTGGTAAAGGCAGTTGCTCAGGAAATGAGTGTTATTCATCCTTTTTGCTTAAAATATGTCAGAGTTAAAGAGCTGAAGACTGATTTCCATATTCTCTATGCTACAGAGTTCTTCTATCTTTATGACTCTATCAGAAAAGCAAGGAAAATTATAACTAAAAATGTCAGGCATCTCCAGATGGTTAAAAAAATTCAAAATCACTGTTTTGGAGCTGGCTTTCAAATTAAGCCTAAGTCTTATTTTAGGTACCAAAGGCCTGGATCCTCAGAAATTCATCTTCCTAAAACCCATCTGACTTCACTGAGAGTTAAGTGCCTCAAATACTCTGACACTAAAATACTAAAATACTAAAATACTCTCATAAATCCAGGCAAAATCCAGGCAAATGAAGTCTTTGATTTGCTCTATCCCTCAGTTTGAGCAAAAGATACTTGGCATTTTGCTAGATCACTCCTGGAGTGGCAAGAAATATGTGCTTTGTCTTCCCTATTTGATTACCTATTACAATTTTTCTTCAGTTATATGAGTTACATGTTCTTCAGTTATAGGAGAATACCCTGCATCTGGAACTTGACTGTTTCAGTGTACGGGGAATAGCTGAGGTTACTGGTTCCCTTCTGAGTTGTTTATGTGCTCTTCCTTTGTCTTTGCTGTTGGGCAAATGCTAAAAATAAGAATTTGCTTATCTAATTTGTATGGATCTTCACAGTGTATGTGATTTCACTGTCTCCTTTCCCCTCAAGCAGTGGACAGATTTTCCAGACCTTATGACTATGGACTATGCATTCATTGCTGTCACAAGTCAATGGATTCTTCTTTTCAGCACTGACATGCCAATTTAAGATACACCCAAGTTTTCCATAAGGAATAGTTAAGAGATAACAGTTTCTGTTTGTTCCATTTGGGCTCTGGATTTACTAACTCCAATCTGAGTACATTTATTTCCAGTCCTGGAAATCTAGTTAACACCTTGTAAATTGTTTACTGCTAGCATGCCTAAATATGTGCTTTTATCTATGAACTGATCTTTATTTAGATTAGATAGGTAAATTATATTTTGTGTCAGATTAATAGCTTGTATGACAGAAGAATAATCAGGGTAAGCTTCCCTTTGTTGTCAGGCCCTATGCTAAAAGCTTCACTAGAGATGGCATTTTGGAGAAAGATCACGTTATTCTGCCTTCAAGCCTGTCCTGTCACTTACCTTATCTGTGTATCTGCTCTTATTAACTCAGATCAGCAAAAAAAGTTGCATACCCTTAGAAGCTTACAGATGGTAGGAGGGATGAAAAATGCACTTTCTCCTCTTTCTGTACACATCATTCTTTTTTTGAAGTTGAACTGAGGAATGACAACAGAGCAGTTATGTTTTGCTAACCTGAAACGTCTTTGTATCCTAGCTTTACGTGTAGAGTCAGCAAGCACAGCAAAGCAGAGCAACAGGAGTGATCAGGTTGCAGTGGTGGCTTGCAAGGGGCACAGGGCTGTGATGGTCAGGGCCAAAAAAGAGAAAGAAATTCCTTCTGAACATAATAAAGTCATCTGGGGGACCAGCCAAGGACAAAAGTTATGGGCTACACAAGAGAAATAAACTGTGATATGTAAGAGAAAATAATCAGGGCTGAGGGAAAAAAAGGAGGGTCCTGGAAGACCCTAACTTAAACCCAAATAAACAAAAAACCCCCAAAACAACAGTGATAGTGCAAGTATTTTGCGTTTTTTTAGAACTGTATTGTTAAGTGACTTAACAAGTATATGTGTCGACCTATTTACTTACATGATTATGTTCTCTCATGGTTGGAATTTTGCCTCTGGAGGAGCAGAACTGACACTGTGTTTAAATAACAAGGTTTTGCTCAGCAAATGCACTAGAGATGTCATGAACATCTCCATGCACAAATACGTACCTGGAGCCTACCTGAGCCAAAAGGAATTTAAGAGCATAGGAGCTTAATATACAGGGGACCAGTTTAGCATATAGTTTAGTAACCAGCTGGCAAAACTTTTAGTTTGAGAGCAGACAGACCTTTATCCACATTCTGACCCCAGCTGCACCACCAGTATGAATACAAGTTAATTAACTTGTATGAATACAAGTTAATTTCCAGCTCTGTTTGAATTTGCCCAGTAAATACATTGCCCCTGAAAACTCAATTTGATCCTTCCTGTGCAACCTCAGTTTTATTATGGGACAGGTCAGGTTCCTTGAGGGAATAATGAAACATCTAAGACATCTGGCAAATCTCCTCTCTGACAATGATACAGTGGTAAAATAGGTCAGTGCAGTTTAGGGTTGCTTTTGAAGCTAAGTGATAGGAGACTTTTCTAATACAGGAGGCTGAATCCTAGGGACAGTGAGATTAGTTTTTACAGGGAAGATGTAGAAAGATTTAAAAGAGCTCTGAAAAAAAGAAATTCAAGAGGTTTTAAGGCTGCAAAACCAGACAAGATTAAACTAATTAAATACTTCTAATTCAATACAGCATTGGCTGTTATTTACAAGTGCTTGAAAGGTAGTACAATTCCGATGAATCAGTATAGTACAGTATATAGAATCATAGAATGGTTTGGATTGGAAAGGACCTTAAGATCATATAGTACTAACCTCTCCGCCACAGGCAGGGACTCTCAACTATACCATGTCAGCCAAGGCTCTGTCCAGCCTGGCCTTGAACCTGCAGCGTTGGAGCATTTACCACTTCTTTGGGCAACCTGTTCCAGTGCCGCACCACTCTCACAGTAAAGAACTTCTTCCTTATAGCTATCCTGAACTTCTGTTCCATTATGAACCCATTACTTCTTGTCCTACCACTAGTCCCTCCCCAGTATCCCTGTAGGCCCCCTTCAGATACCAAAAGGCTGCTCTGAGGTCTCCACGCAGCCTTCTCTTCTCCAGGCTGAACAGCCCCAATTTTCTCAGCCTATCTTCATACAGGAGGTGCTCCAGCCCCCTGATCGTCCTCGTGGTCTCCTCTGGACTTGCTCTGACAGCTCCATGTCTTTCTTATATAAAGGACACCAGAACTGCACACAGTACTCCAGGTAGGGTCTCACAAGGCAGGATCACCTCCTTCAGCCTGCTATACAGGTAGGATGTGTATTAGCATAGTATACAACAGACAAGCTTACACACTTCTTCTGGACGCATGAGTATACTTAAATGTAGTAATGAAAAAAATTAAAAGCAAAGGAGGGTTTGGTTTTTTTTTTAAGATTAAAACTAAGTATCCTGTCCTGAGAGTAACATTTGGAGTTGTTTGCAAACAGATACAGCTTTAAGTATTAAACACATGGTAGATAAAACACCATTCTTAGCAACATGAGTTTTTCTTTTTAGGTAAAGAATTCTGGTTCCAGCAAACTTAGGGGCAACTTTTGAAGCTATCTGAAATTACCCATAGCTTACAAGAATAATTTCTGAAGGTGCATATGTCTAACGGAAGTATGTAGCCTATTTGCATGGCACACTCAGATATTTTAAAAAAAAAAATCTGTTTAATGAAAGACTACAAGAAAAATAACAAGTAGCTGGAATTAGGTCAAGGCCTACAACAGAATATTTAATTTGGCTTCAATGAAGGGGCCTGGATTTATCATTTGCTGTTAATCTGGGCACTCTGTTTGTCCTCATTTATCTTCCCTTCAGAGCTACTGAGAAGAGCTTCAGAAATACATTTCAGCACATTGTGGAAACAGCCTCTGCTCACAGCTAGTAATGAAGAAATAATGTAATTAATTGCTGTTATGTAATGACACTTGGTAAATTAATGTGGACTGCTACACAGTAAATAAAAACTAGCGCTATTTCTGGAATACCAGTTAGAAACATCTTGACCAAAGGCCTGGAGCATCGAAACATTTGACTGATAATTTTTTACACAGAAAACATTGACTGTTGGCTAAAGGTGTTGTAAGGGGGACTCTAGAGATTAAGAGCTCCTGTATCACTGCTGAGTAAGGACAGCACAGCCTGTGTACTTCACCCAGCTGCCTCTGTCACAGTCCTGCAGCTCCTTAGTTCCTGTCATCTCTGCTAAGCTGGCAATGGCATTCTGTTAATTCCGTCAGCTCCTGGGGACGAAGTGATGTGGTTTAAAACAAAGCCACATGGTGTGCTGCATAGGGAAGCATAAAGTACAAAATGCTACTTTCTACTGACACACATTCCCAGAGAGAGCCAAGAAGCTCTTGTGGGTGGATATTAGGAATCACCTTTTGAAGTTAATAATCTAGGATTTTTTAATGTGTACTCCTTTCCTACACTGTATGGGAAGTTTAACCATAGCCACAGTATCTAAGACGGCACAGTCCATGAGGGCCATGCAAGGACTCCTGAACAAATGCAAGCAAACACACGGTAGAGCATTTCCTCTGCGAGGCCTTACACCCACGAAGACACAGCCTGTTGACAGAAAAACTGTAGTAAGCATGCTTGGTAAAGGAAGCTGCTGAGGGAGTGCTCCCTTTGAGAGGATCTGTGGGTGGGATGGAATCGGAAAGGCTGCCAGGCTACCCTGTGACTCAGAGAGGGAACTCCCACCTACATGGGGGGAATTCAGAGCCAACAGGCAGAAAAGCTGAAGCACAAATTGTGGGTGGCTTAACTGGCTTCTGTCACACCCTGTACTAGTAGAGCCTGATGAGAGCCCTTGCTTGTTATCATCCCTATCTTTGTCCTGAAATCTGAACCAAAATTAATAGTTTTTATTTTTGCAAAGGGGCTGACAAAACAGTATCTCTTCACCCTAATGACTAAGAGACGCAAAGTAACCTCTTGGCCTTGGTTTGGGAAAGTTAAGAGCAGGTTAAATTATCTGTTGCTATCACACATACTTTCATCTATTTAGTTTGTGATGCATTTTGAGGGGATGGCTTTTTTTTTTTTTTTAATCAAGGCTCATACATTTCCAACATACTATTTTAAAATTTCTCATCTGCCCATTTACTTTGATTTTCAAATTCTTTCTTTCCTTTCCCATTTGAATAACAAATCCCAAATAACAAATTTAAACTGCTATTTATAAAATGCAGTGGGTGAATTGGGGCTTTTGCTGATTACAGTTAAAAATTTACCCAGTTTTGAACCTTCATGTTTAACCAGTAACTGTTTCTTTCCTGTTAATCCTATTGTGAATAGAAAACAAACTGCATTGATAAGAAAATCAATAGGGCAAATCTGATTTTATACTGGGAATCCACTAACCTGTAATTTGATGTCTGATTGTTTGGTTTTGACTCTTTTCTGTTTTATTCTTAGTGTTTCCTTCAGGCTTCTTTGAAGCTGCTCACCAGAAATCCCATGAATGCCTCATAAAGCCTTAATACCTGAATATTCAGTTCAGCCACTCTGGTGCTGGCAGTCCTCCCAGGCTCAAGACTGCTGAGGGGATGGCCATGTGCAGTGGATCTGGACCGAGGGATGGCCACCACTGCCTGGGCATGGGCTGCCTTCCTCGTCCCTGTGCCCTGGAGGAAGAGGGGCTGAAGGATGTACTGGGCCACAGACAAAAACCACAGACAACAACCCAAGTGCTGCCAGCATGGAGGAAGACAGCTGTCTTTTCCCTGCTCTGTGCCCTGCCTGTGGCTGTGCAGGCTAACCAGGGCAGCCCAGCACCAAGGCCCACCACCACTCTGCGAGGTGAGGTGGCCATTTTCCCTGCCGGTGCCCCGACACGAGGCAGGTGTTAGCACAGCCTGTGTGACCCCTCCCTCCAGGCCAGGCAGCCATCTCCCCCTCAGCACCCTACCATGGGGTAGCAGAGCTTGTGAGCACTACTTGACAGACAGCTGTCAGCATCCTGAGGCACGAATGGGGGTGACCAACCTGAGGGCTCCAGCCTCACCCTGGCACTCCATTTAACCTCACATATGCGCTGTCACCTCCCGCTAAGCTGTGAGGTGCTAGTGGTGGTCTCTAGCCCAGTCATTGGCTGTGTCTGCTGCGGTCTTGTTCATCTGCACCTTCACCTCCGACTTTCTGCCGTGGCCTCGGACCTTCCTCCTCTCTATGGAGCTGCCTGGTGAGGCTGTTCTTCCAGCCAGCCCCTGACCCTGGGGAGGCAGAGACCGCCTCGGCGGCTACCCCGGAGCCACGGCGCTGCTCGGCGGCAGCTGACTCCGCGGGCTGCGGAGGGCGCTGCCTGACGCACTGCGCCCGGCCTGAGGCAGCTGGCGGCCCCCCCCAGCGGCGCCGGGCCCTCCGCAGTGCCGGGTATGCCAACAAGGCAGCAGGTTGGTGCGTAACTTTGATACCCAAATGTTAAAACCCCACCTAGCCAAAGGCTGTTTTCTGCCATTATTTATAGTTTTTTCCTCTCAAGGAGACTATTTGCGTGTCAGAATGTTTCTGTGACACAGTAATGCTGCCTTTGCGAAAAGGTTTCAGCATACGGAGGCAACCAAAACGGCAAGGTTTGAACTAGCCTAACCGTCGGTTGTCATCTCGACTGTTTTGCTACAGCTCTGGTGCCCTTTCTGTGAGTGACAGGGAGCCGTGGCGAGCAGCAAAGTTAATCTTACAGTTACCTTTTCAATGCCTTCCCAATTTAGCTTTCTTTTTTAAAAGAAGCTCTACGTGTACTTGGCCAAAGGACAGGATGAAGAGAAGGAAGAAGGGCAGGCTTTCCTAATTGGGGTTTGCTAATTATAGCTATCTGTAGGGTTGCTCTTCTTACTGTGAAAAAAAAGAGTCTGCTCGAGCTGGCCAATCACCCAGTTTTAGAGATATACTTCAGTTTCTAACTTCCGGGCTTTTCCTTGATCTTTGAGATTTTATTTATTTCTATATTTCTAAATTTGAAAGCATAAGTGAATTCAGCTTTTGGTTCCTGTAGCATTGGTGCATTTTTGCATTCAACTCTCCTAGAACCATAGAATCGTTAGAGTTGGAAAGGACCTTAAGATCATCAAGTTCCAGCCCCCTGCCATGGTCAGGGACTCCTCACACTAAACCATGTTTCTCAAGGCTCTGTCCAACCTGGCCTTGATGACTGCCAGGGATGTTTAAGGGGTCAATGGATTCAAACTTAAACAGGGGAAGTTTAGATTGGATATAAGGAGGAAATTCTTTCCTGTTAGGGTGGTGAGGCACTGGAATGGGTTGCCCAGGGAAGTTGCGAATGCTCCATCCCTGGCAGTGTTCAAAGCCAGTTTGGATGGGGGTCTTGGGTGATACGGTTTAGTGTGAGGAGTCCCTGCCCATGGCAGGCGGTTTGGAACTGGATGATCTTAAGGTCCTTTCCAACCCTAACCATTCTAATTCTAAAACGCATTTGCCTGCCTCAAAGTTTAAAGTATCTTACTGTCTTTGCTGCTTCACTTTACTCTTTTCCTTTTCATGCTTGTCATACTTAATGTAGAGAAATGTTTCATCTTTCAAACCTGTTAATTGTCATCACTTTTATGTGGGCACCAGTGAAGGACTCCTTTGGAATAAACTGTGACCACCTAAAACAAATGTTTATTTTTAATGTTATTTTAAGATGGATTGGTTCCCTGATCTTCTTCATGACACATTTGGCACATCAGTGGTGCTGGCATAGTGGAAGGAGCAATGTGGATGCATTTGAGAGCAGGAACTGTTTAGGTTGGCAGCATTTGCAAGTAAATAGCATGAGGAACCCAATTAGGGTATGTGGACCCAATCTGGATGC